GTCTGAGATCCCTTCTTCCCTATGTGTGATGTCTGAGATCCCTGTGTGATGTCTGAGATCCCTTCTTCCCTATGTGTGATGTCTGAGATCCCTTCTTCCTGAGATGTGTGATGTCTGTTCTGAGATCCCTTCTTCCTATGTGTGATGTCTGAGATCCCTTCTTCCCTATGTGTGATGTCTGAGATCCCTTCTTCCCTATGTGTGATGTCTGAGATCCCTTCTTCCCTATGTGTGATGTCTGAGATCCCTTCTTCCCTATGTGTGATGTCTGAGATCCCTTCTTCCTATGTGTGATGTCTGAGATCCCTTCTTCTCTATGTGTGATGTCTGAGATCCCTTCTTCTATGTGTGATGTCTGAGATCCCTTCTTCCCTATGTGTGATGTCTGAGATCCCTTCTTCCCTATGTGTGATGTCTGAGATCCCTTCTTCTCTATGTGTGATGTCTGAGATCCCTTCTTCCCTATGTGTGATGTCTGAGATCCCTTCTTCCTATGTGTGAGATGTGTGAGAGATCCCTTCCCTATGTGTGATGTCTGAGATCCCTATGTGTGATGTCTGAGATCCCTTCTTCCTATGTGTGATGTCTGAGATCCCTTCTTCCTATGTGTGATGTCTGAGATCCCTTCTTCCCTATGTGTGATGTCTGAGATCCTTCTTCTCTATGTGTGATGTCTGAGATCCCTTCTTCCCTATGTGTGATGTCTGAGATCCCTTCTTCCTATGTGTGATGTCTGAGATCCCTTCTTCCCTATGTGTGATGTCTGAGATCCCTTCTTCCCTATGTGTGATGTCTGAGATCCCTTCTTCCCTATGTGTGATGTCTGAGATCCCTTCTTCCCTATGTGTGATGTCTGAGATCCCTTCTTCCCTATGTGTGATGTCTGAGATCCCTTCTTCCCTATGTGTGATGTCTGAGATCCCTTCTTCCCTATGTGTGATGTCTGAGATCCCTTCTTCTCTATGTGTGATGTCTGAGATCCCTTCTTCTCTATGTGTGATGTCTGAGATCCCTTCTTCCCTATGTGTGATGTCTGAGATCCCTTCTTCCCTATGTGTGATGTCTGAGATCCCTTCTTCCCTATGTGTGATGTCTGAGATCCCTTCTTCTCTATGTGTGATGTCTGAGATCCCTTCTTCCCTATGTGTGATGTCTGAGATCCCTTCTTCCCTATGTGTGATGTCTGAGATCCCTTCTTCCCTATGTGTGATGTCTGAGATCCCTTCTTCCCTATGTGTGATGTCTGAGATCCCTTCTTCCCTATGTGTGATGTCTGAGATCCCTTCTTCCCTATGTGTGATGTCTGAGATCCCTTCTTCCCTATGTGTGATGTCTGAGATCCCTTCTTCTCTATGTGTGATGTCTGAGATCCCTTCTTCCCTATGTGTGATGTCTGAGATCCCTTCTTCCTATGTGTGATGTCTGAGATCCCTTCTTCTCTATGTGTGATGTCTGAGATCCCTTCTTCCCTATGTGTGATGTCTGAGATCCCTTCTTCTCTATGTGTGATGTCTGAGATCCCTTCTTCTATGTGTGATGTCTGAGATCCCTTCTTCCTATGTGTGATGTCTGAGATCCCTTCTTCCTATGTGTGATGTCTGAGATCCCTTCTTCTCTATGTGTGATGTCTGAGATCCCTTCTTCTATGTGTGATGTCTGAGATCCCTTCTTCCCTATGTGTGATGTCTGAGATCCCTTCTTCCCTATGTGTGATGTCTGAGATCCCTTCTTCTCTATGTGTGATGTCTGAGATCCCTTCTTCCCTATGTGTGATGTCTGAGATCCCTTCTTCCCTATGTGTGATGTCTGAGATCCCTTCTTCTCTATGTGTGATGTCTGAGATCCCTTCTTCTCTATGTGTGATGTCTGAGATCCCTTCTTCTCTATGTGTGATGTCTGAGATCCCTTCTTCTCTATGTGTGATGTCTGAGATCCCTTCTTCTATGTGTGATGTCTGAGATCCCTTCTTCTCTATGTGTGATGTCTGAGATCCCTTCTTCTCTATGTGTGATGTCTGAGATCCCTTCTTCTCTATGTGTGATGTCTGAGATCCCTTCTTCTCTATGTGTGATGTCTGAGATCCCTTCTTCTCTATGTGTGATGTCTGAGATCCCTTCTTCTCTATGTGTGATGTCTGAGATCCCTTCTTCTCTATGTGTGATGTCTGAGATCCCTTCTTCTCTATGTGTGATGTCTGAGATCCCTTCTTCTCTATGTGTGATGTCTGAGATCCCTTCTTCTCTATGTGTGATGTCTGAGATCCCTTCTTCTCTATGTGTGATGTCTGAGATCCCTTCTTCTCTATGTGTGATGTCTGAGATCCCTTCTTCTCTATGTGTGATGTCTGAGATCCTTCTTCTCTATGTGTGATGTCCCTTCTTCTCTATGTGTGATGTCTGAGATCCCTTCTTCCCTATGTGTGATGTCTGAGATCCCTTCTTCCTATGTGTGATGTCTGAGATCCCCTTCTTCTCTATGTGTGATGTCTGAGATCCCTTCTTCTCTATGTGTGATGTCTGAGATCCCTTCTTCTCTATGTGTGATGTCTGAGATCCCTTCTTCTCTATGTGTGATGTCTGAGATCCCTTCTTCTCTATGTGTGATGTCTGAGATCCCTATGTGTGATGTCTGAGATCCCTTCTTCTCTATGTGTGATGTCTGAGATCCCTTCTTCTCTATGTGTGATGTCTGAGATCCCTTCTCTATGTGTGATGTCTGAGATCCCTTCTTCCTCTATGTGTGATGTCTGAGATCCCTTCTTCCTATGTGTGATGTCTGAGATCCCTTCTTCTATGTGTGTGATGTCTGAGATCCCTTCTTCCCTATGTGTGATGTCTGAGATCCCTTCTTCTCCTATGTGTGATGTCTGAGATCCCTTCTTCCTATGTGTGATGTCTGAGATCCCTTCTTCTATGTGTGATGTCTGAGATCCCTTCTTCTCTATGTGTGATGTCTGAGATCCTTCTTCTCTATGTGTGATGTCTGAGATCCCTTCTCTATGTGTGATGTCTGAGATCCCTCTTCTCTATGTGTGATGTCTGAGATCCCTTCTTCCCTATGTGTGATGTCTGAGATCCCTTCTTCCTATGTGTGATGTCTGAGATCCCTTCTTCCCTGTATGTGTGATGTCTGAGATCCCTTCTTCCCTATGTGTGATGTCTGAGATCCCTTCTTCCTATGTGTGATGTCTGAGATCCCTTCTCTATGTGTGATGTCTGAGATCCCTTCTCTATGTGTGATGTCTGAGATCCCTTCTTCTATGTGTGATGTCTGAGATCCCTTCTTCTGAGATCCCTTCTATGTGTGATGTCTGAGATCCCTTCTTCCCTATGTGTGATGTCTGAGATCCCTTCTCTATGTGTGATGTCTGAGATCCCTTCTTCTCTATGTGTGATGTCTGAGATCCCTTCTTCTCTATGTGTGATGTCTGAGATCCCTTCTTCCCTATGTGTGATGTCTGAGATCCCTTCTCTATGTGTGATGTCTGAGATCCCTTCTTCTCTATGTGTGATGCCTGAGATCCCTTCTCTATGTGTGATGTCTGAGATCCCTTCTTCCCTATGTGTGATGTCTGAGATCCCTTCTTCCCTACAAATCCCTCCAAGTTCTGTGTATTACCATGAGTTAGTCAGTACAAAGTATCATTCGGACTCAAGATTTCTGTATTGTTCAATGGTTGATCCCATGAGAAGTGTGCCAGTGAGGACAGAGATCTGGCAGAATGAATGATGTGATCTTATCCCCCCGCAGGGCACCAACCTGACAGACATCTGTACCCAGCTGCTCCTGCAGGGGACGCTACTGAAGATATCGGCGGGGAACATCCAGGAACGCATGTTCTTCCTCTTCGACAATCTCCTTGTCTACTGCAAGCGGAAATCCAGGTACAGGGGGGCTACACTATGCAGATTTACTAAAACCGGAGTCCTCGGAATCTGGTGCAGCTCTGCATGGCGGCCAATCAGCTGACCTTCAGCTTGTTCAATTAAACTTTGACAATAAAACCTGGAAGCTGATTGGTTTCCATGCAGAGCTGCACCAGTTCCCGTTGCAAGGAAGGGCTTTGTTACTCCCTACAATGTCTTTACCAGACAGCCTGCAGGGACAGCAGTTCTGCCTATTGACCTTGACATGTCCCCAGAACGACATGTCCCCAGAACTACATCTCCCAAGAGCCTGTTCCCTACACGCATCAGGTGGGCTTGGTCTTGGGAGTCAACACAGCAATGTTGCTTCATTGAGTTTTATAGTCTAACAGGTGAGACTGACAACCCTGCTTGGATTATGTCCATACCTGCACCATGTGTACTGTGACAGTACTTGGGGAAATGTGCATTTATGGACCTTCGAGATGTACTGAATATGTGTTCTGTGTGTGTATATATATATATATATATATGTGTGTGTGTGTGTGGGGTGTGTGTGTGTGTTATATATATGTGTGTGTGTGTATATATATATATATGTGTGTGTGTTATATATGTGTGTGTTGTTGTATATATATATGTGTGTGTGTGTGTATGTATATATGGTTGTTTGTGTTGGTATATGTGTGTGTGTGTGTGTATATATATATATATGTGTGTGTGTTATATATATATATGTGTGTGTGTGTATATAATATATATGTGGTGTGTGTGTTTTATATATATATGTGTGTGTGTGTAGTATATATGTGTATATATTTATTATATATATGTGTGTGTGTATATATATTATATATTGTTTATGTTTTATATGTAGGTGTTATTGGGGGGTGTTGTGTATAATTTAATATATATATATTTTGTGTGTGTTGTATATATATATTATATGTGTGTGTGTGTGTGTATTATTTATGTTTAGGTGTTATGATGTATATGTGTGATATTTGTATATTGTTGTGTTTATGTTGTATATATGTGTGTGTGTGTATATATATATATATGTGTGTGTGTTTATATATATGGTGTGTGTATATATATATGTTTTGTGTGTATATATATATATTTTGTGTGTGTGTGTTTGTTGTGTATATATATGTTGTGTGTGTGTATATATATATTATGTGTGTGTTTTGTTGTGTTATTTTATGTTGTTTTTGTGTGTATATATATTATGTTTGTATTGTGTGTGTGTGATATATATGTGTGTGTGGTTTTTTTTTGTGTGTTGTGTGTGTGTATGTATTTTGTGTGGGTGTTGTATATATATATTGTTATTGTGTGTGTGTGTTATATATTGTGTGTGTTGTTTGTTGGATATATTTTATTGGTGTGTGTGTGTATATATATATATGTGTTGTGTTGTGTGTGTGGTATATATTTATGTATGTAAAAATATATATGTGTGTGTGTGTATATATATGTATATGTTGTTGTGTGTGTGTGTATATTATATATATGTGTGTGTGTGTGTGTGTATATATTATTTATGGTGTGTGTGTTTATATATGGGGGTTTTGTGTGTGGTGTGTGTTGTGTTAGTATATGTGTGTGTGTGTGTGTGTATATAATATGTGTGTGTGTGTGGGTGGGGTGTATATATGTGGTTTGGGTTTGATGTATTTGAATGGAGTGTTTGTAATATATATATGTGTTGTGTGTGTTGTATATATATATATGTGTGTGTGTATATATATGTTGTGTGTGTGTTGAATATTCAGCAGGATACATTGAATGGATATTAGCAATGTGCTTCGGGTCTGTAGATCCTGACATTTCAGCACATTCGGTGCCATTCTCCCCCCATGAACACCAGGGGGGGGGGGGGTGGTTTCTTCCTTTGCTGTGATCTGGCGCTCAGTCCCCGGGGGTTCTATGAAGGATTGTTGCAATCTCCTGGGCCTCCTCCTAGACATCGCACATCCGGTGTCAGAATCCCACCAAGAATTACAGCCTCAGGACATGGAGGGGATGGCGCTCCCCTGCAGCAAGATACCTGTAGTCTGCCCTGTGCAGACCAAGTCAAGGAAGGGGAGCGTTGCTGTAGGGAGACAAGGCTTCAGCTTTCCCCGGATGATTCTCTGACCTTTCCTGATTTCACCCTTTAGGGTCGGAAGAAAAAGTCAACAAAAAGGACCAAATCCCATTAACGGCACATTGTACATATTCCGCGGGAGGATCAATACGGAAGTGGGTGATGGAGGTGGAGAATGTGGAGGATGGTTACAGGTAAGTGCGTTGTTCCTATCTGGAATTATTGGGCCGAGGGAGGGGGGGGGGTTCCCAAATACTGGAAATGATCGCACTGTGGTCCCCCTGCAGCAGCTGAAAGCCGGCATGAGCGGAGGGAAGCTGGCGGCACTGTGGGTTTTGGGTGGTACACAAGGGCCCGGCCAGCAGGGGGAATCTGATAGTGGACATGAGGGGGTGATCTGTGTGCCAGGAGGGGGTAATTATAGGAACCAATCCCCTATATGGATCTCCCTGCAGCAGCTGACAGCTAACCAGAGTGGAAATGAGGGGAAGCCGGGTGCACTGAGGGGTGTGGTACTCAGGGGGCCCACGACAGCAAGGGCAATTGGATAGTGGGGGGTAATTACAGGAACCAATCCCCTATATAGCTCACATTGCAACAGCTGAAAGCCAGTGTGAGAGGAGAGGAGGGGATTCACAAGAAGCCCTGGGCAGCGGGGGGAATCAGTTAGTGGACAGGAAGGGGGTGATCTGTGTGCTGCGGGGGGACTGGAACCGATCCCCTGAATAGCTCTCCCTGCAGCAGCTGAAAGCTCACAGGAGGGAGAGGAGGACAAGCCAGCTTAGAGCTGCTGCAGGGAGAGCTATTCAGGGGTTTGGTTCCAGTAATTGCCGCACTGATCAACCCCTCCTGTCCACAATTCGATTCCTACTGATGACCGGGCCCCCTGCTGAAGTGATGGGGCCTGAGCCATGTACAGGAGGCCCGGAGGTACCCGCTCATCATATAGAGAAATCATGCATACTCCATGCAGTTAGTGTCCTGGTTGGGATTTGAATGGAGGACCTCAGTGCTGCGGTAGAAGTGCTCACTGTAGTACTTTTTCTAATTCTAATCACTTTCCAGTGCCTGCATCCTCTCCTCCTCCACCGTCTTCCAGCCGATCAGCCCCGGCAGCTCCCGAGCTCCTGAGGTCTAATTTTACTTTACAGGTTTCAATTTCCAGTAATCAATCATTAATTGTCTGCGTCGTGCCGTAACCCCGCGACTGGCAGTCCGCCGCGCGTCCTTGTGCTCTCTCATTACATGTGACAGGTGAAAAGTGGAGACTGCGAGGCTCCCAATCCATGTAATTGTATGAGATGTCGCCATCTGTGCGTGTTTTGTGTAAAAGTCCGCTCTCACCCGGCACTGCGTGTACGCTCCACCGTGTGCTCTGATTGGATGAAGACGGGTGGATATGGCTGTGTCCGCTCTCACCCGGCACTGCGTGTACGCTCCACCGTGTGCTCTGATTGGATGAAGACGGCTGGATATCCCTGTGTCCGCTCTCACCCGGCACTGCGTGTACGCTCCACCGTGTGCTCTGATTGGATGAAGACGGTTGGATAAGGCTGTGTCCGCTCTCACCCGGCACTGCGTGTACGCTCCACCGTGTGCTCTGATTGGATGAAGACGGTTGGATATGGCTGTGTCCGCTCTCACCCGGCACTGCGTGTACGGCTCCACCGTGTGCTCTGATTGGATGAAGACGGCTGGATATCGCTGTGTCCGCTCTCACCCGGCACTGCGTGTACGCTCGCTCCACCGTGTGCTCTGATTGGATGAAGACGGTTGGATATTGTGTCCAGAGGGGCTATCTATGTCCGCTCTCACCTGGCACTGCGTGTACGCTCCACCGTGTGCTCTGATTGGATGAAGACGGTTGGATATGTGCTGTGTCCGCTCTCACCTGGCACTGCGTGTACACTCCACCGTGTGCTCTGATTGGATGAAGACGGTTGGATATCCCTATGTCCACTCTCACCCGGCACTGCGTGTACGCTCCACCGTGTGCTCTGATTGGATGAAGACGGGTGGATATGGCTGTGTCCGCTCCACCGTGTCTCTGATTGGATGAAGACGGTTGGATATCGCTGTGTCCGCTCCACCATGTCTCTGATTGGATGAAGAACGGTGGATATGGCTGTGTCCGCTCTCACCCGGCACTGCGTGTACGCTCCACCGTGTGCTCTGATTGGATGAAGACGGTTGGATACCGCTGTGTCCGCTCTCACCAATCACGGTGCAGAACCCGTTCCAAGCTAATAAATGTGCTTTCCATAGACATCTGTTCTATGTCATATAATACAATAACCAGCAAACCGCTTCCAGCTCCTCCGCTGTGATGAAAGACGCATCAATTTATCTTCCTCCACGGTGACGGCAACCACCGAGCGCTTTAAACCCCTTCCCACCAACTTCACACATACACGTGGCCTCCAGGGGTGGGCCGAGTTATTGAGCACCGCAAATATATATGTGTGTATTATACAGTATATATATATATATATACCCCCCACCCCCCCGTGTTTGTGATGGGCGCGTGCACCGTGGCGCTCCCCTAGTGCAAAGACCAAGGTGCCACTGACGTCTCCTGGTTTCGGACAAACGATTGGGAGCTGGGGAACCTGCTACTGATCACATGACCACTGCGTAAGCCCGTGATTGGCCGTCTCAGCGATCACTAGTTTTTAGGATCCTTCCTTTCTGAGAACAAAGATACATTGTAACTTTTTTTTTCCTTTTTAGATAAAACAAATAAAAAATCTGTAAAAAAAGACAGACAAAAATCGCCAGATTAGGGTCTGATCTAGGGTGCTGTCAATGTGTTTTATAAAGTTTAAAAAAAAAGATTTTTATTTAGTGCCATTATGTTCTATATAGGATAAAAAAGGTTTTATATTAAGTGTCAATGTGTTTTAGATCGATAAAAAAAACGAATTGCAGACTACGCAATGCTCCTGTCTCCGCTTCCATTGGAGATATTCACTGTCATTTCCTGTCCCCCGATTCCCTGTTACCTGGACAGGAAGTGCGGAAAAATTTCCCCAATAAATAAAATGATTTCCTTTAATCCAGAAGACTTGGCGAAAGGCATACATGGGGCTCTCCCCTTTCCTCGCTGTACAATGAAAGAGATTATTGTTCCTGTCTCCATTGGAGAGATTCACTGTCATTTCCTGTCCCCCGATTCCCTGTTACCTGGACAGGAAGTGCGGGAAAATGTCCGTAATAAATAAAATGATTTCCTTTAATCCAGAAGATTTGGCGAAAGGCATACACGGGGCTCTCCCCTTTCCTCGCTGTACAATGAAAGAGATTATTGTTCCTGTCTCCATTGGAGAGATTCACTGTCATTTCCTGTCCCCCGATTCCCTGTTATCGTTACAGGAAGTGCGGGAAAATGTCCGTAATAAATAAAATGATTTCCTCTAATCCAGAAGATTTGGCGAAAGGCATACATGGGGCTCTCCCCTTTCCTCACTGTACAATTAAATAGATTATTGTTCCTGTCTCCATTGGAGAGATTCACCGTCATTTCCTGTCCCCCGATTCCCTGTTACCTGGACAGGAAGTGTGGGAAAATGTCTGTAATAAATAAAATGATTTCCTCTAATCCGGAAGACTTGGCAAAAGGCATACATGGGGCTCTCCCCTTTCCTCACTGTACAATTAAATAGATTATTGTTCCTGTCTCCATTGGAGAGATTCACCGTCATTTCCTGTCCCCCGATTCCCTGTTACCAGGACAGGAAGTGCGGGAAAATCTCTCCCAATAGAGAAATGGACTGCAGTAAAATTGTCTTTCTCCCCTCCCCCTTATGGCTGATACTGGGCTCTGGTCTGTTGTGTATGGGGCAGATTGTGGGTGTAATACCGTCTCATGAATGGTGTCATATCTCTCCCGCAGCCGATTATCACAGTAACGGTTACACCGTCACCAACGGCTGGAAGATCCACAACACCGCCAAGAACAAATGGTTCGTCTGCATGGCCAAAACCGCCGAGGACAAGCAGAAGTGGATGGACGCCGTCCTGAGGGAGCGGGAGCAGCGAGAGAGTGAGTGCAATCCAAACCAATTGGCTGTGTGTGGTCAGCTGACCAGGCGTGCACCAAGCACCAGTGCTGAACAATACACCATGCATAGAATATCGGGTTATCTGTTCTTAAAGCAGAACTCCGTCCATATGGTTACCTTTGTGGTTGAATTATAGACTTGTTAACTGTTTTACTTTCCCAAATATTTCCAGTTCTTTGCCCCCCCCACCAGGACATGGTTTGCAGTGGAGGTGTGACTCCACTATTCACTGTCCCAAATCTACGACTTCCTATGTAACGGGACTGTGCAGGATCCTCCCCACCAGGGGCAGACTGACCATTTGGAAACTCAGGCACTGCCGAGGGCCCGGGTCAGTAGGGGGCCCCATGAGATGCCCCTGGTACCTTTTTCATAGGCTTTTTTGAGTTTGGGCAAGGACACAGGGGCCCCATGATCCCCTATTGCCCGGGGGCCCCATGAGTTGTCAGTCCGCCCCTGCTCCCCATAGTGGTGTGTTCTGACCTTCTGGTAATCTGCTTAAACCTATCCTCTAGCCCCCAGTGCCTGAAGCATGTTAGACAGGCAGCTCTATACAAAGCAATGTCATGTATGATGGTGGGAAGCTACTATAACTGTAGATATGATGTTGTCATACTAGCAGTGTTTAGGAAGCCTTGATTGGTCCCTGTAAGGAATGTTGTCTCAAGCCACGTCCTCTTCCATGGCAGCAGCTAGCCATTGCATACAATGCAGTTCCATCCGGCAATAAGCCCTCCTTCCAGCTGCAATTCTAAGAGGGTCAGGTTTGTAATTTGGGTCTCATTATTATTCCGGGTGGAGTTCCTAGATGGAATGAAGCCGATGTGTGGCCGGAAGGTTCTTTTCTCTCGGGGTACGGAGATCTGCAGGTTCGGTAAATGCTCCACTTTATGAAGTGGGTGGAATCTGCCCCGTCAGCGGATGGATGGATGGGAGGGGGTGGGGGGGTCAGCATTACCTCCCGCTGCATTAGCTGTGATTCCTGATGTCTATTGATCGCAGACGATACATAATTAATGCCGCGATGGAGAAGAGATGGAAGATGTTTTTAGCGGGTGACTTCTGGCAGCCGCCATCTTTCCATCGTTCCTGTGCGATGGGAGCGATTATCTGCCAACTTTCCGGTGGAATAAAGTCTGAAGATCTGCTTAGCTGGATACAAGGAGATATTCGTTCTATGGAGGGAACGCTGACGGGGAATATTCGATGGGTCATTTCTTCAGTGAAATGGTGGTGGACGTGGATGGACTACCCAAGGACAGTACAGGGCTACTCTGATCCCAATGCTCTTCATGGGGTCGGGAAGAAGGTCTCCATCCTTTTTCAAGGCAATATTCTTCCTGGGTTGGGACTCTGGGAAGGGAGGGGGTTGTAATGCCTCATTTAATACTGCCGGAGATCGACCCATCAATGTCTTTTTGATCTTGATCTTCTTTTTTGGGTATCTTGTGCCAGAGTGAACTTTCTCATTAGTCAAGCCGACTTGTTGTGGTGAGGCTGCCCAATTTTTTGGATGGATTGGGAGGGGGGCATGATTAAAACCTCTGTGGGGCTTTTACTGCTATCCAGTGTGCCGTATGGGAGGTTTCCCCCCACTTAAGCCCACGTTGGATGACTACTCGCCAGCAGTAGGATTGTCAACATGTAAGGGGCCATAATTTGCTGCCATCTTCCGCCAAGCTGGCCAAGGGTACCTCCCCCATTCTCCATTCCTCAGGACTAGGGAAGATAGGGCACCTACCTACAAGAAAACCATTCCGCCATCTTGGTTACTCTCATTCTCTTGGCCTGAGGCCTGCACTCCATGTACCTGAGGACCTTTTGCAATAAAGGATTGTCCACACTACTTGCTTTTCTGATGCTCTACTAGGGGTCTCTAAACTTTATGAACAAAAGGGCCAGTTGACTGTCCTTCAAACTTTAGGGTGAGCCGGCCTGTGGCCATAGGAGGAAGAAAATGTCTTGGCATCCAGTGGTAGTAAACAATACCCCGTCAATGGTATTAGTGGGAGGAATAGTGCCCCATCATTGGTGTCAGTGGGAGGAATAGTGCCCCATCATTGGTGTCAGTGGGAGGAATAGTGCCCCGTCATTGGTGTCAGTGGGAGGAATAGTGCCCCATCATTGGTGTCAGTGGGAGGAATAGTGCACCATCATTGGTGTCAATGGGGGAATAGTGCCCCATCATTGGTGTCAGTGGGAGGAATAGTGCCCCATCATTGGTGTCAGTGGGAGGAATAGTGCCCCACCGTCATTGGTGTCAGTGGGAGGAATAGTGCCCCGTCATTGGTGGCAGTGGGAGGAATAGTGCCCCATCATTGGTGTCAATGGGGGAATAGTGCCCCATCATTGGTGTCAGTGAGAGGAATAGTGCCCATCGTTGGTACCAATGAGAGGAATAGTGCCCCGTCATTGGTGTCAGTGGGAGGAATAGTGCCCCATCATTGGTGTCAGTGGGAGGAATAGTGCCCCATCATTGTCGGTGTCAGTGAGAGGAAGTGCCCAATCGTTGGTACCAATGAGAGGAATAATGCCTCAATACTGGTGTCAGTGGGAGGAATAGTACGGATGGTTTCCATAGGCGGCTCATGTCGGAGGGAAGAAGTCCATAGGCGGCTCATGTCGAGGGAAGAAGTCCATAGGCGGCTCATGTCGGAGGGAAGCAGTCCATAGGCGGCTCATGTCAGAGGAAGCATTCCAAAGGTGGCTCATGTCAGAGGGAAGCAGTCCATAGGCGGCTCATGTCAGAGGGAAGCAGTCCATAGACGGCTCATGTCAGAGGGAAGCAGTCCATAGGCGGCTCATGTCAGAGGAAGCAGTCCATAGGCGGCTCATAGTCCCTCATTTCCAGGGACAGAGGGACTTGTGTGGTATACAGCGTATACATTGTGATCCGTGACACTGGTGATTATCTGCGGCAGGAAGTGGCGGCTAATTAGCGCTCTGCTAAGTGGCTAATTATAGAGCATCCTAAATTCTGCCCTTTATTTTCTAAGGACCCCCCCCCCTTCCCCTCCCCCGGCGTGACGAGGTAATCGAATTGTCCAGGAATTGTACTGAGCCCCATTCATGGTCCTTGTTCTTCCCTCCCCTCATTTCCTGGACCTTTGTATCCTCCATACAGAAAGGTTCCATCAATGGGGACCCCCTGCAGGGTTATTAGAGGGCGCTGAGGTCCCACAGCTCACTGCTGCCCTAGGATTGGTGGAGAGAAGGAGGGGCGGGTCAGTGACCACATCACACAGGACAGCGAGGTGGACAGCTTACCTTTTCACTCTGGAGTACTGGTTATATGGTATGGTGGGTTTGTGGATCGGATGACTGGCTGAACAGAAGATTTTGGGGGGTTAACCCATTCATCTGTATGTACTGCAGCAGCGTGGTATCTGCTTTACAGATGAAGCCTAGATTGTGGCTGCCCTGGTGCACCCTCCCCCTCATTAGCACGTTAATAACATTTACACACTTTACTTTAGTTTCAGTGATGTCATCACAGGGTCTCTGTTCTTCTCTATGCAATACAGGGAGATCATGGCTGGTGCAGGGTGCTGTACATAGCTTCCTGATAACATCACAGCTCCCTGCCTCAGTACTGCTCTCAAGAGCCCTCAGTCCTGATGCAAGCAGTGGGAGGAGTTATACGGTTATCAAAATGCTTTGATGAGTGGGTGTTAGTCTGGAGGATACAGGACTAGGCAGGCTGTATATACATGCAGACCATTCACATGGGATGCTGAGCCCATAGGATTGACAACTCTGAAATCTATGAAATTCAATGAAGGTACTAAGAGGAACCTGGAGACTTCCTGAAGATCGATGTGGAGCAATGCTCCATCTCAGGGGCGGACTGACCATTTGGAAACTCAGGCACTGCCCGAGGGCCAGGGGTCAGTAGGGGGCCCCAAGAGATGCCCCTGGTACATTTTTCATAGGCTTTTTTGCGTTTGGGCAAGGACACAGGGGCCCCATGATCCCCTATTGCCCGGGGGCCCCATGAGTTGTCAGTCCTTCCCTGCTCCATCTCCATACAGAGAACAATAATAATAGAGATGTCTACCTACAGACCCCTTCAATGAAGGTACTAAGAGGAACCTGGAGACCTCCTGAAGATCATTGTGGAGCAATGCTCCATCTCCATACAGAGGACAATAATAATGGAGATGTCTACCTACAGACCCCTTCAATGAATGGTAGGAACCTGTCTACCAATGCTCCACTCCAGACCCCTTCAATGAAGGTACTAAGAGGAACCTGGTGACTTCTCCTGAAGATCATTGTGGAGCAATGCTCCATCTCCATACCGTTCAGCCCATTCTAATGAAGGTACTAAGAAGAGAGGCCTGGTGACTTCTCCTGAAGATCATTGTGGAGCAATACTCCATCTCCATGCCGTTCAGCCCATTCTAATGAAGGTACTAAGAAGAGAGACCTGGTGACTTCCTCCTGAAGATCATTGTGGAGCAATACTCCATCTCCATGCCGTTCAGCCCATTCTAATGAAGGTACTAAGAAGAGAGACCTGGTGACTTCCTCTGGAGATCATTGTGGAGCAATGCTCCATCTCCATACCATTCTGCCCATTCTAATGAAGGTACTAAGAAGATGACTTCCTCTGAGATCATTGTGGAGCAATGCTCCATCTTGTGGAGCAATGCTCCATCTCCATACCATTCAGCCCATTCTAATGAAGGTACTAAGAAGAGAGACCTGGTGACTTCTCCTGGAGATCATTGTGGAGCAATGCTCTATCTCCATACCATTCTGCCCATTCTAATGAAGGTACTAAGAAGAGAGACCTGGTGACTTCTCCTGGAGATCATTGTGGAGCAATGCTCCATCTCCATACCGTTCAGCCCATTCTAATGAAGGTACTAAGAAGAGAGACCTGGTGACTTCCTCTGAAGATCATTGTGGAGCAATGCTCCATCTCCATACCGTTCAGCCCATTCTAATGAAGGTACTAAGAAGAGAGACCTGGTGA